AACATTTTATAAATAAGATACATATTTGTTTGGTATCATATTCTTCCCAAAATATTATCCCATAGACAGTTATATTGGAAGTGATTTGCAAGACCTAATTCAGAGGCCATACCATTCTTGAAGGCCTTTACTCATTCTTCCATATTACTCAAAAACCAAGCTTTCTCTTCTTGGAACTTGTAAAAGAGTGTTCTTGCATTATTCCTAAAATATGTGTGATTATCTGTTAATATCGGTTTTAAAAAGAGCACTGACAGAAAGTACTTTACATGCAGCTTTGCAGAAGACACAGACACATTCTTCAAAAGACCATTTCTCAGATTTCTAGAGACATACAAGTTAGCAACAAGTGACATGGAAGCTCTTAAGTTCCTATGTATTCATCATTGAGTATGTGTTCATATTATACCAGAATATTTATAACTATAATTCAATGCTAAATCTATGCCAGTTCGAGCCCCATTTTGTGACTTGTTCTGGGACTACACTCTGCAGGAAGGCATAGTTCACATCTTCAGAAAAAATAAGTTGTCTGGGATAGCTTTAACCTCTTTATCATTGACTGTATTATGCTCTGGATCCCAACTTCATCTGGGATGGATACAGGTCAGTGATGCTGTATAATAAAATTCTCTTTCCCACTAATTGTCCAGTGAGGAGAGACTGGAGGTTTATTGAATATCTGTCTGAGATACTATACCAAGATAGATACTCAGAATAGGTCTTCTAACTATATTTGTCTTTTATAAATTCAAGAATCCAATGCGTTGTGAACTTTACACTTATTCTTTTCAATGATATGGTCCAGAGAAAAGAGTCAAGGCTTTGGGTAATGTCTCAGTTTAATGCAACACAGAATAGGTACTCAAAAAATATTTATTAAGTGAGTATGAAAAGAGGCCTATCTTCCCATTGATTTGAGTGTTGATTTTACACTGCTTGTGTGATCTGAGAGTGCTTAAGCCAAGAAAGCAATCTAAGTGGACCAAGCTGGTAATATTCTCGTAGCACCTGGCAAAAGAAAATTCAAAGCCACTCTAGATGGGGTGCACACCCTCAGTCCAGCTGCACAGCATTCCCACAAATATCCCTCTTGCCATTTGTAAGCACTCAATACCCACTGTTCTCCCTTCAAGATGACCACCCAGCTAGTAAAGTGTCACATGGGGACAGTAGAACAGGGTTCTGTGGGTGAGTTACTTAACACAATGGGTCATGAAACTCCATTTGTTCCACAAATGGTATACGCCCTGAGAGTCATAATGAAATGAAACTAGCACAAAGCTATGTGGAAACAAGGCAAAGAGGAACTAGTAGCTTGCGTCTGCCTTGCTCTCCATGATGCATTCTAAAACTCAGCCAGGGAAAACCCAGGCCCTGAGCACATGGCTGACCATTTCACCTCAATTCCCTTTCTACACAAGGAGACTCACACAGCAGAGAAGTCACTACATCACCTGAGCAGATAAGATGGGGGAAAAAAACTGCCCAAATCTTCCACCAACCATCTGGGCTACAACAGGACTCAAAGAAATTCTGCTTGCTCAGCCATCATCCAGTATTAACATTGGTACCTTTACGACTCATCATATTTAAAGGTGGGACTTACTTAATAAACTCAATCTCTTTCATTCTTTGTACTCTGGCCTCATTCCAACAAGCCTTTGAAGCATCCTTAGAGATGCATAGACTTTTTATATTCTTAGATAAAAAGGTCCCAGGGGCTCTAGCAAGCATAACACAGATGGGTTAGCCTATGGAACTTACATAATGACATTAACAAGAGTACTTCTAAAGTTTTCTCGTTGTTTATGTGGAGATTTGCCCTTTGATTTGGAAGTAGATGGTCCAGCATAAGTATCATCAACTTGATCCTGTAATTTTCCTTTTTTTCCAAAGTGTTCCATGTATTCAGCTTGAATTTAAAAAAAAAAAGTCACAAATAATTCATCTAAAAAGTAAGCTAAAACATCTAAGTGCTTAGAATAAAATGCTAAATCACCTTTCAAGAAAAAAATATGTTCTCAAGTAATCCTAGGTATAATTCATTCTTTTTACTATCAGGAAGTTAAACTACTCTTGTTTTGTGTCATCATAAATAGAAACGTCTGAGTATTTCAAGAATATTCAATTGATTCATTTTATATTTTGATTAATATGTTAACAAAATTTTCAATTACTAATATGTTTACATAGAACCCTTTAAAAATGAACAAGATTAAATTGTGACAAAAACAGAATATAAAACTATTTGAGAAAATTTAAAGAACCATGTTTAAAAAAGTTAATATTAAATATAATCTGATAAGCACTATATTTAATGAGTTAAAATATAAAAACATTAAAATGACTAATTTGGAAGTAACATTTACAATTTATTAAAATCTCTTTTAGAAAAATCTTCTCAGTCTTTGATGCAAAGGCAAATTGTGACTTCAATAAATCAAAGTTTTATTTTAAAAAATTTCAATTTCTAAAATATTACCTCTTATACTATTTACAATGGCCTGAAATAACTAAAAACTGGAATCAATTATTTTATGAGGGAAAACACTTGGGAAAATTCTTCTAATTGACATAAGCATCACTTTGGTTTTATAATTCCATCACTCTATAAACTAAATGTTATACGGTGTTTTTCTCTAGAAATGTTCCTTAAATCTAACTTAGGATAGTAAAGTTCTTACCATAGGACTGTTCATTTTTAACACTAAATTGTTCTGGAATCTCATTGTCCTGCTTTATACTCAGATGAAATGATGGAGCTGCCTGCTGCCACTGGGGCTTTGAACTCACCTAAAATATGAAATTTAAATAGCATTAATAAACAATACCAGAGAAAAACTTTTTTCATGAAATACATGAATATTTATAAACACAGACATTTTCTCAAACAGATCAGGACATCTGGAAAGAAAACACTCAATAGTAGATCTTTTTCAAGCCTGTGAATGGCCATGGTGTGCACTATTTGGGGGATGTTATCAAAAGTCCCACTGCTGGTTTGATGTGGGTGCCTGTACCTAAAATTGGGGTGTTCACTCCAAAAAGTCTACTCATCCCCAGATACTGACAAGTGTCTTTAAGCCTTCTGTTTAAATGAGAGGTGCTCTCTGCTGGTCTCCAATGCTAATGAGTTCCCCCTGCATTTCAGCTCCAAAAGAAGGAGCTCCAAAAGGTCTTCCTGTTCTCATACTTTTAAACTGCCCTAGATTGCTCTGGCAACCCACATATTTGTTCCATCATTTAAGGTAGGGGTTACAAATGATCTACATACACAATCTGGACGGGTATCATAAAGAGGGAAAAAGCTAGTGATGACAGGTACCTGGCACTCAGGTCCAGTCCTGGGAAACAATAGAGTGTGGTGGGGACTGTGGCAGCACCTCCATCTTCTAAAAAGGCAATGACTAATTAGCTCAAGCCAATTATTGTAATACCAGGACACAGACCTACTGTTTCTGGACACTATGGTTCTTCAATAAACCCAGACAAGTGGATTATAGAGTAAAATCTACATATTTTTTAACAGTGACAATTTGGTCTGTTTCTTCCTTTCAAATTCAAACCAATTTGATAGCCCATGCCTGCACTGGCTTCTCCTTCTTCCTAATTTTACTCTCCCCAATCCCTTACTCCTGTTTCCCAAATAAACTACCTGCACACAAGTCTTTGTTTCAGGTTCTTCTTGCAAGAAAAATAGGCTAAGAAAACTTATATCAGTGCTCTTCTATCCTTCAGCCTGACCTTTCATTCTTCAACTCTCATCTTGCTCCATAAAAGATTTAAGACTCCTGGGAGTGCTCTGAGTGAGGTATGCAGAACGGGTGAAAATCAAGTCACCAGCTCACAAGAGGCTGAGAGCCACCAGTGCTGGGTCACCCTTGATTTCAACCACAGTGATCACCACAAGCATGGTCTGTAAGGAAAATCACTCGAGGTCTTAATTACTGCCAGAAAAATTTTATCTAAATGCAAAACTTAATACTGTATTCAGATGAAAATAGCTTTTTTAAATTCAATGGATTATATTTTTAAACATCTCTTGAAAATACAATTTCCCTTAAAACATCAAACTCAAAGAATGCTAAAAAAAAATTGCAAGGTATAGCCAAATATGAACATAAAACCAAGTTTAAATCAGCCAACGAAAGTTTTTTAGATGATTATGTGATTCACTGACAGGAAAGGATTATTATTCATCTCAGCCACAGACATTCAAATAAGTAAATTTAAATTCAGTTCACATTTCTAAATCTGTATGCTAACAAGACACAATAAACTAAGGGCAATTTTTATTTTTTTCAGTTTTAAAATTTTTAAATCTCAAAAGAGAAAATAAACTGTCTATTTCTTTTCAGATCTTTGTCTTTTAAACTAGAAAATTTAAGGTAGATATTGCAGGGAAAACATCCTATGGCTCAATTCTACAGACATGGTGTGATAATTTGGCACTATCAATAAAAGTATATTTTCAATTAAAATGCATATTTTGAAATGTTCAAGATAATTAATCTAAGAATGTTAATTCAAGTTTTCTAAGAAAAAAATGTCCTTCATTTCAAATTATCAGGAATTTTCTCTGTATAAAACAACACAAGGCCAGGCACGGTGGCTCACGCCTGTAATCCTAGCATTCTGGGAGGCCAAGGCAGAAGCGTTGCTTGAGCTCAAGAGTTCGAGACCAGCTTGAGCAAGAGTGAGGCCCCATCTCTACTAAAAAGTAGAAAAATCGGCCAGAGGTCATGATGTGCACCTTAGTCCCAGCTACTAGGGAGACTGAGGCAAGAGGATCGCTTGAGCCCAGGAGTTTGAGATAGCAGTGAGCTATACTGATGTCACTCCACTCTACCTGGGGTGACACAGGGAGACCCTGTCTTAAAAAAAAAAAAAAAAGCAACACAAATTCAATTTTATATTAATATTAGGTTATAAATATGAAATGTCCTATTTTGAATCAAAAGTTTATTTTATCTCAAACAAGGAGCAATACAATTAATCAAAGTATGCCCAAACTATTGACACAGTTTTTCCATCTTAACAGTAACTTGCTTATGCCAGCAGTGAAGAAGCCTGGAGAACAACTGGTGATGAAATCATGAAAGGTGTTTTCCACAGTTTGTCAAGAATTGAATATTTTTCCTTGCAAGAAGTGGTCCAAAGCCTGGAAGAAGTGGTAGTCAGTTGGTGCAAGGTCTGGTGAATACGGTGGATGCGTATTCTCTTGAGAGAGTTCCCAAGTCCAGCTTCCATAGTTTGAGCAGAGTTTTTTGCTACATGTGGTTTTGCAAGAGGATTGGCCTGTCTCTATTGACCAATCTTGGCTGCTTAATCACAAGCATCCTCATCATTTTGTCCAGCTGGTTGCAATACACATCCACTGTAATCTATTGACCAGGTTTCATGAAGCTGTAGTGGATAATACAGCACTGGACCACCAGACAGACACCATTAGCTTTTTTTTGATGAATATTCAGTTTTGGGCTGTGTTTCAGCATTCCATCTTTCTCCAACCATTGTGCCAAACGCTTGTGATTATCAAAAGAAATCCATTTTTCATCACGTGTAACAATATGGTGTAGAAATGGGTCACCTTTATGTCATGACAGCAAAGAAAATCAAGTTTCAAGACGATTTCTCTTCTGATGCTCATTTAATTCGTGTGGAACCCATCTATCCAGCTTCTTTACCTTTCCCATTTGTTTCAAATGGTCCAATATTATTGGAATAGTAACATCAAACCTTGCTGCTAATTCACGTTTATGGATTCGTTTCCACTATAGCTTTCAGCTCATCATTATCCACCTTTGTCCCAGGTCGCCATTATCCACCTTTGTCCCATGAAAACATGGCTCGTTTTCAAGATTAAAATCACCAGAATGGAACTTCTCAAACCATCAACGTACTGTATGTTCATTATCCACATCCTTCCCAAACACTCTGTTGATATTTCAAGTTGTCTGCCTGCATTGGTTCCATGACAGAACTCACATTCAAAAATAACACGAATTTTTGTCTTATCCATGGTTTCACAAAAGTTGCTCTAAAAAAAATGTGAAAGATAATCACAAGCCAAAATGTGAGTTTAAAAGAATGAGGATGTACCTTCATGATAATAATAATAATTAAAAAAACAGAGTGTCTAAGCAAAATGTCAGAGATATCAACTGTCAAACTTAGTACTCAAGGAAATCGGACATTCTATACTTAATAACCTAATGGTTTGCTCTGTCTGAGCTTTTAAAATATTTTTCAAAAAAAAATAATGCTTTGGATGAACCTTAAAGACTAAGTGAAATAAGTCAGACACAAAAGGACAAACCCTGTATGATTCTACTTATATGAGGTACCTAGAGTAGTCAAATACACAGAGACAAAAAGTAGAATAGTGATTTGCTGTGGCTGAGGGAGGGAAAAATGGGGAATTATTCTCTAATGGATACAGAGCTTCAGTTTTGGAAGATGAAAAGAGTTCTAGAGATGGACAGTAGTGATGTTTGCACAACAATGTGAATATACTAAATGCCACTGAACTGTATATTTAAAAAATGTTAAAATGATAAATTTTGTTATGTATATTTTATCACAATTTTTAAAATAATAATATTTGCATTGAATCTCCTCTTAAATTTAACTTTCAGGAGTCACAAGAGTGTAACTAAATGGCATTAAACTCAACATAATTACCAATCAATCCTATTACAGTAAAAACTAACTTGTACAGCACTTTATCAACTGAAAATGTTCATTAACTGCCTCTTCCACAGGACAATGATAATTTATAGTCAAAATAATAAAAAAAGGATGCTAAGATCTCAGAAATCTTTTGTAGCACAGCAAAAGGGCAAAAATTCAATAAGAATGTATAGGTAAATTACCAAAGACAACTGCGGCAAAGCTCTTGCTGGTGCCTTGGATTTTTCTCTGCTGACTGATTTATCCTGCATGAAAAACATGAAAACCGTTTACTCTGTTAATGCTAAACTTGATTCAGTTAACCAAATTTTACAGAGTGTATACTATAAAGTAAAGCACATATTATCCAACATGTTCAAAGATATACTCTACTACTTTTAAAACTCTCAATGTTTGTCTTAGAATTGTTTTCTTCGGAGCAAGAAAATAATGGAAAATGCTACCCCACAATACTTATCAGAAAGGTTTAAAAAGTATGCAAGGCCGGGTATGGTGGCTCACACCTGCAATCTCAGTACTTTGGGAGGCCAAAGCAGGAGGCCAGGAGTCTGAGGTTGTGGTGAGCTATGATCACGCACTCTAGCCTGGGCAGCAGAATGAGGCATGGCTGTCTCAAAAAAAAAAAAAAAGTATGCAAAGCCTTTTATCCATCACATCTCCTGAGAATTTATCTGAACCTACTTAGTGTCCAGGGCTTACTCAACTTTACCTCTCCTCTCTTATCACTAAAATATTTTTGTCCTTATTGACAGATCAGAATAGTCTACTTCCTAAGGTGAAAATATATTCAGGTTGATGCATCCTCAAGTTGCCATAAGTAACATTTGTATTTTTTAGCAGTAATTTTCAGAGAAAACTACTGCTATCTCCTTTGCAGTAGAGAATAATTCCATGGTAGGAGTTTCATCTAGGTAAGAGAAAACACTGTTGAGAATGACACTTTGATCTCTAAAGCAGATAGTATGAGCTGTGCTTTTTGCCAGCTGTGTTTTGACTCTCAGCTCCAAATCTGCCCTTTTCACCCTCCTTTAGGATATTTGACAGCACCCTGAAACATTTTTCCTTTGACAACTGGCGTAATGTTATCAAGGTGCTAAGGAGACACTGTAAGACGAAGGAGCGCTCTTCTTGGTTCCAGTGGTTATCATTACTCCTATAATGTGGCTGCCAGCAGTCAACACCTTTGTGCATGGGCGCTTTTCCGGCCTGTGCTGTGTGGCTAACACAGAGGCAGATAACTTCCAGTAAGTGTCACTGGTATCCTCGTAGGTAGTGTGAGAGTTGTCAGATTCAAAATGGGTCACTTGTGTCAAACCCTGACAAAATGGAGCCAGGAAAGGCCATAGAGAGAGGGCTCTCACGCACCATTTGCCTGATAATAGAAACCACCACAAAGACAGGTAGCCGCACAAGGACAGCTAGTGACTTATACAAGGACACCTGCCTTACACACTGTCTCAAAAACCCAATCCAAAACTGCAACGGCCTACCCATAACTCCAAGATCATAAATCCTACCTAGCAACTACTGACACTCACCAATCAGAACTCTCCAGGTCTTCTAAGAGACTTCCAGCACCAATGAACTTTCAAAACAACTTGCATAACTTTCTCTTTCCCTAATAAGCCCCTAACCTATTCTTTTGTTCTCCAGACATACTGTAGTATGTCCAAGATTGCAATCTTTCTTCTCGTATACATTATTCCCAAATAAAAGCTTTTTACGTGGAGATTTGTCTTTCTATATTTTTATTTCAAGTTTCACTTACACCACAGAGAGAGACTTCCTTTCAAATTTTTAGCCTCCTTAGACCTAGAGAGAGTAGCTGTTCCTTACATGAGCTATTCCTCTGTTCTTTAGAGCCTTGCTGCCCAAAACAGTATCCACTAGCCTCCTGTAGCTACTGAGCACTTGACATGTGGCTCCCTTGAAGTAAGACTTTTAAGTATAAAATACGTACTAGATTTTGAAGACGGTACAAAACACAAAGAATACAAATTATCTTGTCAAAAATTTTAAAATTATATATTATAAAATAAAATATATATTACAAAATTATATAATTTTTAAATTACACAAAAATATATACAATATATAAAAATAATTTATAAATATTGATCAGAGTATATTTTGTATTGATTACATTTATGTGTTCTGTATTGTTCTAAGATGACATGAATTAGGTCCTCTAATATTCTTAAAAGCTGTGAGGTAAATACTATTGCACCACCTTTGTGCCAATTACACAGATAAGGAATGATGTAGTCTCTGTCTCCACAAAGCACACAGTCCAGTTAATATTAAAAACTACTGCTTCTGTCTAGGGCAGAATGTAGAGCAGAATAACCAAAGAAAGTTTCAAAAAAGAAAAGGGTTGGAAGCTACACCTTAAAGCATAGTTGGATCTCCACAGAGAAGGACAGCAAGGAGCTTACTGAAGACAGAAGAAGCATCAAGAATTAGGGGCTAAATGACAATGGCAGGTCTGGAAGGGATGTTGGGGTGTATGGTGAGGAGCCTTGGCCCAAGTGAAGTTGAAGGTAATCCATCCTCTTATTCAACAAGGCTTTACTGAGCTCCTACCATGTGCTGGGCTCAACTTAAGGCACTGAGTCTACAGTCATGGACACGACTAAGTCCGCCCCTTGACGGAGTGTACATTCTAGAGAAGGTATAGACAGATATTTCAGAATAGATTTGTCATATAGTGTCAGCAAGTTAATACATGTGGTAGAGAAAAATAAAACAGGGTAAAGGGATAGAGAGGAAAGGGTAGAAAAGTGCTAGGTTAGATGGGGTGATGAGGGCCTCTCTACAGAGGTTATGTTTGAGTAGAAACCTGGAAAAAAAAAAAAAAACAGTGAGGAAGGAACTAGAGCAGGACAGATGGATGCTGCTATATCATGGAGGACATAGGCTTCTTGATTGGCCAGGCTGGAAATAGAAAGCTACTAGTCTTCCCTTAGGGTTGCCTTAAGTCTCAGCCTGCTTAAGAGAGTCCCAGTTTATATCTCTTGTCCAAGCATAATTAGTAGCACTTTCACTCTCAATGGCATCTCAGTTTGGGTGATAAATTATATTATTACCCTATTTATTGTGCAGGGACACATAAAAGATTATTTCACAAATGGTCCTAGCAGCAGTAAACAAGATACACAAGAAGTAGGGGATTAGAGTCAGCAGTGAAGGCAGTTTAGCAGCTTTTTAAAAATAACCCAGGGAACAGGACCCTGGATTTATAGAAAAATGCCAGTAACAGAAGGTGACCTTTACCTCCCTAAGGCACAGCTCTGATCATACTGCTCCCTGAAAGAAACATTAAAAAGCCCCCGATTGAAGTAGGCACAAGTCTTCATCCTGGTTTCCAAAGCCCTCCTCAATATACTCCAAATTTAGCCAGGCATGGTGGCGCATGCCTGTAGTCCCAGCTACTCAGGAGGCTGAGGCAGGAGGATGGTTTGAGCCCAGGAATTTGAGGTTGCTGTGAGCTGTGGTCATGCCACCACACTTTAGCTGGGCGACAGGGTGAGACCCTGTTTCAAAAAAAAATACTCCAAACTATTTTACTTTCCAGCCTCTTTTACAGTTACTCTATAACCATATGAGTCCTGCTTGCCAATGAAAAGTGAGCTGAAAAGTGAGCAGCAACAGGACAGGCAGTTAAGAGCTGGTATGCCTCCTCCATCCCTCTCTTCCCTGCCACTGCACCTGCGGAGGCCATGTGTTCTCACTGGCATAAGATGGAGGGCCACCTGACACCATCAGACTTCATTAGGGCAAGAGCAAATGTTTGATGGCGTGTCTCTGAGATTTGGGGGTCTGTTTGGTTGGCTAGTTGCGGGGAGTTAGCTACACTCCCAGCAAAAAACCGGGTCCCTTAGGTAGGGGTCGTCACAAAGGATAAGAAAATAATAGAAAATGGAAAATAACAGAAATAAAAGAATACACAGAGACGAAGGTATAGTTTTACAGATTTATAAAGATAAAAGGCAAAAAGCGGGGTACTCGGGGGTCCCTACAATATTCCTGTCAATCATAAGGCCTAGAATAAAGTTTCACATGGGCATTTACAGGTACAGAGATCTATTGCCAGGGGTAACAGATTTACATAATAACAGGTAGTTCGTTTTGGGTTAAAAGTCTTTCAAAAGGCTTCTATAGATCCCTTAACTAACTCTGGTTACAAAATCTTTCAAGGACAAACTTCTAAGATAAAGCTATTAACAGAAGGGTTAAACAGAGATGTATTGGCTCCATATTTCTTTATCTAGTTATTGCAGATAGAGACAGGTCATCAGAAGTCAAGCAGGAACTGTCCCTTGGGCTAATTGTTTTCAGCCGCAGGTATCTGTCTCTGGGGCGGGCATTCTTTGATCAGCTCTCATCCTGTGGTTCCATGCAGACCTTGCTTTGTCCTTCAAAGCAGGTGAGAATCACGGGGTTAAGATCACAGCGTCACCTTGGAAAGCAGCTGCTACTGACCTTTGAGATGCCCTTCTGAGGTGGAGCAGCTTTTGATATGCAAACTAACATGTTCACATATTCTTTCAGGGCAGAGCCCCGCAAAACTCCTGAGACCATTTCTGTCTCTAATATAGTTATATTAATTTATGGAGCGATACTAGTGTTAATTGCCCTGACTAGCAGAGCCATGAATATACTCCTCAATATCTCCCTATTAAAATCCAGCCCTTTCTTCAAGACTAGTATCAAAAATCTAGATGTCCTTTCTTTAACTCCAACTATAGGTGACCTCCTTTGAATATGCATAGCACTCCTTATTGTTTAAATTCTTTCTGGGATACAATGTGTGTGTGCTCCTGCCTATCCCACTCTCCTACCCCCTCACCTCACCTCCATCTACTACATCAGTCTTTAGAGTTGGGTAAACTGACTTTAAAGTCATTTTAACTTTATCTTAGAAAATTACAAAATGGTTAACCATGCCCTAAAAGAAAAAACATAACTACAAAAAAAAAAAAGGAAAGAAAGAAAAGGAGAGGGGAGTGCAAAAGGCTTCCAACAGTACTTCCCAAAGTACAGACACCAGATTAGGGAGAAGTTTCATACACATACAATGCCATACCCCAAATGGCTCTGATTTCTACAATTCCCACTGGGCCACACAATGGGAAGGGGAGCATGAGCACAACATTTTCAAGCTTATGAGTGCAATGGGTGTTCTCAGAGTTGAAGGCTTTCCTTTCAGGAGAATGAGGGTGTGACAAAGGCCTAATAAGAACAATGTTATAAATTAATA